TGGGGAGCCCCCGCCGCCACCCAGCCCCCGCCGCTCCCCCGGGCCCTACTTGCAGCTGGCGAAGCGCACTAATCCGTCTCTGAACAAGTAGATCCTGAGGGGGTTGTAGCAAGTGACGTAAACATAAATCCTCAGGTCGAACTTGCTCCCGCTGATGAGGTAGGGCTTGTGCAAGTACCTGCAAAGGAGAACGAGGCGGGTGGGCGGGAGCAGCGCCTGCCCTGAGCATCGCTGGCATGGAAAAGACCTGGCCCAGCCCAGTGTTAGCCCAGGGAATCCCAAAGACTCCTTTAAGCGCTTAGACACAGAGCCTCGGCTGGCGGGCACAGGCCCCAGAATCGCTGCCCTCCCCGTGCAGCCAGAGGACTGAGCTTTGCCTCCCAGAGACCCAGCCGCACCCCTTTCCAGCCTGGGCCCCATCCGGCACCAAGCTGCCTTGAAACGAGCCCCGCTGCCCGGGGGTTCTTGCTCAGGGAGCAGGCGGCCGGGCCGTGACTCGCACAACAGGATGAGGTTTAATAAAGAGAAATGCAAAGTGCTCCCCTTAGGAAGGAACAATCAGTTCCATACATACAAGATGGGAAGCGACTGTCTAGGAAGGAGCATGGCGGAAAGGGATCTAGGGGTCATAGTGGACCACAAGTTGAATAGGAGCCAACAGTGTGATGCTGTTGCCAAAAAAGCAAATATGATTCTAGGTTGTATCAACAGGTGTGTTGTAAGCAAAACTCGTGAAGTCATTCTGCCGCTCTACTCTGCGCTAGTTAGGCCTCAGCTGGAGTACTGTGTCCAGTTCTGGGCGCCACATTTCAAGAAAGATGTGGAGAAATTGGAAAGGGTACAGAGAAGAGCGACAAGAATGATTAAAGGTTTAGAGAACATGACCTATGAAGCCAGGCTTCATGAACTGGGCTTGTTTAGTTTGGAAAAAAGAAGATTAAGGGGGGACATGATAGCGGTTTTCAAATATCTAAAAGGGTGTCACAAGGAGGAAGGAGAAAATTTGTTCCTCTTGGTTTCTGAGGACAGGACAAGGAGTAATGGGCTTAAAGTGCAGCAGGGGAGGTTTAGATTGGACATTAGGAAAAAATTCCTAACTGTCAGGGTGGTCAAATATTGGAATAAATTGCCAAGGGAGGTGGTGGAAGCTCCCTCTCTGGAGATATTTAAGAACAGGTTAGATAGACATCTGTCAGGGATGGTGTAGACGGAGCTTGATCCTGCCTTGAGGGCGGGGGGCTGGACTCAATGCCCTCTCGAGGTCCCTTCCAGTCCTATGATTCTATGATTCTAAGGCATTTGGGGGTCCAGGGGCTCAGAGATCCACACTCAGAGACACCACGGACACAGAGCCTTTTCCCGGGGAGCCTGCTGGGTGGCCAGCAAGAGGCAGGGTCCCAGGTTGGTTCTCTGGAAACCCCCGTCCTGTGAAAAATGCCACAGGGCTGCGTTTTCTTCCCACTCTGGGGCAGAACATTTTGCAAAACCAGGAAGGTTTTTGCTGGAACGACTTTCCGCTTCCCAGCCTGCCCCAGCCCAGCCTCAAGGGGAAGGGTTGCCAGTGGGTGTGCTGGAGGAGGCTCGTTTTGGAGTGGTCTCCCTGCCGCATTCACAGCTTCCCTGGCTGCCGTGGAAAGCTACCAGACGTGTTGCACCGAGGGGGAGCTGCCGCTGGAGCATCTGCCTGACGGACGGTCAGAGGCTGGTGTTGGGAGAACTGATTTCAGCGCATGCCACACACAAGTTCACGCAGAGGACAGCTTCCTCCCAGTATCGCTCCAAAGGGAACCGTGCCCCTGCGCCCCTGTTCTCTGGCGATGACTATGGGGCAGGAGGACACAGCTCCAATCACGGTGTTAACTCAGCAAGGATAAAGGGATCCGGAGCTATGTGAGATGCTCGTGTCCCCCGGGGAGCAGTAACCTGCTCCGAAGTATCTGGCCGCAGCCAGGACGAGAGGGCGGAAGTAGATTCAAATCCGTTTTACTCCTGGCGCCACTGCGCACGTGCAGCATTCACGTCCCTCTGAAGAAAACATTCTCTGGCGCAGCTCTGCAGTTCCGCCCCCGCCCACCAGGGGCTGCTGTGGCCGTCATGCAGCGCCGGGGGGCGGGGGACAGACAGGGCTGCTGGGGGTCAGACTGGATGAGGGTCCAGGAGGCAGCAGGATGACAGCACTGAGCCAGGGCTGAATGGGGGAAGGGCAGCGGGGCCACATGGGGACCTGGGGCTGCAGAGAAACAGAGGCAGGGCAGATGTGCCAGGCTGAGTGGGAGAGGCGAGGGGTAAGCCAGGCTCTGCATGGGAGAGAAGAGGAGAGGCTCCCCAACTCCCTGAAACCTCCCACCCCCACCGCCCTCCAGGCTCCCCCCCTGCCCAGCCTTTGCGCTGCTTCTGAGGGGCGGGAAGTACGGCCCTGCAGCGCAGCGTACATGAAGCACCGCTCGGAGCTCTGCATTCACGCACCTATAGGGTCTATACCCCGACTCCTCCCGCCGCCCGCGTTGTTACGAACTGGCCGGGGCACGTGGCAATTCATTACCGCGCACGGACGCTGGCCTCGTCCGGCTGCCTCGCTGACAAAGGCCCTGCGCAGTGGCCCCCGGGCGCGGAGCCGTGTTCCGTCCCGCGCCAGAGGCCGACTCACCTCTGCACCAGCAGCGGCCTCCTCTTGGGCAGCTGGCTCCATTTGTGGATGACCTGGATGCCGATGCCTCTGGCAGATGCCGGCTGGGAACACACACAAGGGGCATCAGCGTCTCCGGCGGCGGCGGCCGGCGGGGGAGCCGCTTGGCCCCGCGGGGTTCTTACCGGCTTCACGATCCACTTCTGGCGGCTGCCGCTCTCCTCCCAGGCCTTCCTCAGCAGCTTGATGTCCTGGGGCAGGATGAAGGACTGGGGGAAGAAGTTAAACTCCTTCTTCCCAAAGCGCGTCTGCATCTTGGACAGGTTGCGCCACAGACGGTCCTTCCTCCCGATTTGAAAGGAGCCAGGGAAGTGGTTTAGCTGGGAGAGCCAGGCAGCGGCAGTGAGGTGGTGGCCTGGAGTCGTGCCCCTCCCCAAAGCTCCCAGCTGTTCCTCTCTCCCCCTGCAGGGAGGGGGCAGGCCACATCACGTGCCTGAGCATTCTGGAGAGGCACGTGGCCCCGCAGGTCCCTGCCCCCTACGTCGCCCCGATCTACGGCACCTCTGCAGCCCCAGGTTCAGCCATGAGTCCGAAGTGAGGCTGGAGACTCCCCCATGTGGTGCCCCCACACCGTCCCCCTCTGCCCTCTGCCAAGCGCCGGCCACAGGGGCCTCGGAGCACAGCTGGGAGGGAGCTCCTGGCAGCATTCGCCCGCAGGACTCACCCTTCCCCCCCGGCAGAGCAGCTCCCGTCCCGGCGGGAGTCGGGGCGTGGTCTCCACGTGGCACTGGCAGGGCCGGGGGACCCAGGAAGCAGGCGCTGGCCCACACCGAGCCCGGCGCTCTCCTACCTTCTGATGCTCCTTGATGGCGCGGAAGCCCCCCCACCCAGTCGCTGTTCTCTGAAGGAGAGGAGACGGGGCCAAGCTCTCCACCAGCCCAGATTCCACTTCAGCAAGGGTCCCCCCCCGCCCGAGGGCCAGGCGCGAGGGGCCGGGACGCTGCAGCAGGGCCCAGGCATGCTACTGACACCCCCGGCTGCAACAAGCCAACGAGGACCCAGCTTTGCTGGGGGGCTGCTTTCCCTGGGAAGCTACCGTGGGTGCAGAGCAGACTGCGCCTCCCATCTGCAAAGCCCCCCCCATTGCTGAATTCCCGCCCCCGCAGCCCGGGGATGCAGACCAGTGGGGAAACTGAGGCAGGGGGGCAGTGGCCTGCCCAGAGCTAACAGGAAGCAGTGGGAGAATAGAGAGTTTCTTAGTTCCTGACCCTAGTCTATACAACAGCCTCTTTGCCTGCATCTCGCTC